TCTCTCTCTCTCTCTCTCTCTCTCTCTCTCTCTCTCTCTCTCTCTCTCTCTCTCTCTCTCTCTCTCTCTCTCTCGCGCGCGCGCGCGCGCGCTCGTTCTTGCGTTCTCTCGAGCATAGATCCGCGCCCCCCTTTCTCGTAGGCGGGTTGTTTCCATCCGCGCACAACCGGGATCAATCCACGCGGGACTTTCCGCCCGCGAGTGGCTTCCCAACCACGCACAGCTTGTTTCCGCGCGCAAGTTCCCTTCCCCTACGCAGTAGTTCTCCCCTTCCCGTGGACTACAGCTCTCTCCTTCGAAAAGGAAACGAATCCGGTGCGCGGTGGCGACCAGGTGCGTCATCAGACTGCGTCCCCTCCTCTCTCTGTTTGAGCCTGCGCATACGTACGCAAAGGCTTTCCTCACGTAGGAGCTCCTTCGGCGCAAGCTCCCCCACCCCGCACGACTTCCTCTTTCCCATGCGGCTTTGTTTACCCCGCGCGGCTTCCTACCGTCCTACCCTCTCTCTCTCTCTCAACTCTCACGCTCTCTTTCTCACGCGCATGCAGCCCGTCTCCATCCGTGCGCAGCTGCTCTCTTCCCCGCGCAGCAGTTCCGCGCGACACCTCTTTTCCCCGCGTAGCAGATCCCATCTCCCTCTCTCACTTTCCCGCTCTCTCACATGCGTGGATCTCTGCTTCCCCGCTCTACCTCGAGCGTGGCTCGTTCCGTACGAGCGCATCTGCGCGGTTAATCGAGCGGGATGGCAATACTCAGATTGCATGATCACATTGAAAGTCAGGGCGTGGCTCGTTCCGTACTTGCACATCTGCGCGGTTAATAGCGGGCAATACTAAGATTGCACAATTGCATTGAAAGTCAGATCGTATCATCGTGTTCAGTAAGCAGCATTGCACTAATATGACACCAATGGAGAATCGACCCAACCTACCCTCTACTCCACTACTGCTAGCCTACTAATTGACAATGCAACTGTTGACATCTGCAGCCCACGAAGTACTTGAAGATGTCGCCTTCGACAGACCATCGCCAATACCAGGTATGTACCCTTC